GTAGGTAAGGCTTAGGCGAAATTTGAAGGAGCAACTAATATTTTTCAACCTGGTATTTTTTATAGATTTTATTTTTCATTCTTTTCGTCTGTTTTTTCGAGTTTAAAAAATATGAGCTGGCTGGAGCCTTCATCCCTTGTCTATTTCTTACGCTAGATACCAGCCGATACCCCCCCCCCCCCCGCCGCTCATAGAGGCTGCGTACTACAGTTGATTATAGTTCCTGGGCCCCCTGTGGTATATCCATTGCGTTATCTGTAAAACATTGGCTTTTGGGATATATGATGTTTCGTGTTAAATCATCAATATTCATGAAAGTTGAATATCGTGCTGCTCTTGAGTAAATGTTCCACAAATTCAGCATGTACATTGTTCTGAGGCAATTGACTAGAAATTCCGATGACTACATCGTCCACTTCACTACATGACTACAACGCCCACGTGTACTCACATTGAGTGATGACTGTTCTATGACTTATACCAGATATTTTCATTTGAAAACAGGGCTACTTCCCTATTACAAATTTATGTACTAGGGCTTTATCCTGTACTTTTTTGGTGTGGTTGAACTAAGTCCTGTTATGGGCTTGATTTTGGGACTAAATATAGATATATAGAGTACTCAAATTACAAAGCTTATGATAATTTACATACTATTATACACAATCAGTAAACCAACAGAAAAAACAATTATATAATTACCCACGAATAAGATATAGTCTTTAGTTGAATGCATCAAGTATTTATTTGTCTTGCACCTTTCAGCACAGCATTTTTCTCTTCAAATAATTGGTGCAATATTTCGATTTTTTAAGTAAGAAACGAAACTCGTCTTTAATATCACTATATAGTTACCAATGTTTGATCAGATTTGCTACGAATTCTTGAGTAGCTATTTATCTCTGGGTGTCGTAGTTGAATTTTGTTAACGTCTCTGTTAAAATTCAGATACAATCTCACGTCCATTCACAGCACACCCGCTAGTAAGTCGTAATGCAATTTACCAAATGACAAAAACATGAGTGAGAAATGAAATCACACGAAATAAGCAAAAACTATGTGATCAGAAAATATGTTTGCATGTCACTGGCTTAAGTTTAAACCATTTTGAAGGCCGTTCGCTCTTTGCCAGTATTATGGCCACCATCTTTAATCACGATAATTACGGTCAAGAACGTAATTGTATTTGAGCAAAATCGAACACGGAATCATGATCGTGATTATGTAATCATACAAAACACCCGACCTCAGTAGCGCTTCGTATGCAACCATATCGCCCTCAGCGGTAGTTATTGAAATGAATTAGTAACAGCTGATTGGGGGCGTCATCTGAGTGCTCAACAAACAAGGCCAGGAAATAAATTCACGTGTGGTGTTTACGACGATGCCATTTAAGTGAATGATTCCTGTGTCGGAAATCAGAATTAAATATTCAACAAAGAAACACACAGATGAACAATGATTCTATTCTATTGACTTTATTAAGAGTAACGTAATACTGAAACTAACCAGACAACCAATCAGATAACTTTCTAAAATCTAATTTTAAACAAAATTTCAAATAAAAGCAGCCATACTCCCCAATCTCAATCTATTATATTCCAGTCAAGATGGAGAGGGTGTTTACCTAGCCATGTGCAAGAGCTACTTATTAATTTTAAATAATTGTAGCTATTTGTCACGTTGGAAATGATTTTGCCACTAAGTGAAACACTATTTGAGAGAGAAGAAACGAGTCTCGTGGTTCTCTCCCTCTCAACGAGAACTCGGCAGCCATTTACGTCTAGGGTACATTCATGGCAAAATGAGCTACTATCTAAGTTGGATTTAATCAGATTCATTTGCATAGTGACAGAAATCATATATTGTCAAATAAATGACTCGCTGGCACTGGCACTAGTTGTTTTAATTGTGGTTCAATAAGTTGAAAACCAAAGTTATTACAACTTTTATATTGAAACAGTTCTTAAAATGACAATGTAAGCTTAAGATTTACCCCCAGGATACAATGTGGGATATAGTATACTTTATTTAGATACATTAAATTGTCATGCATTTTCTTTATTTTCACATTTCCGGCCACACAGTATCTAATTACTATGTTCTTCACTTTAATCTTTAATCCTTTAAGCGCCATTGTTTCAATCAACTTTTTATTGCATCATTTTTTTCTCATTTTTAGGTATTTTTCTATAATATTTTCGATAATTTTGGGCCAAAATAACATAATTTTCTATTAGATGCAGGTCTAAATTATGGAAAATTGTATTTTATTTTGCCAATGGTGAGGAAAATTCATCGACTTTGACGCTCAAAGGTTTAAATTGTGTTACAATGACTTTAAATATACGTATAACCACTGACCACACATCACGAAATCATATCACTGACAAATGTATTTATTATTTCTTTAGGAATTCCAGATGTCAACATGGGCGTAGTAGGCGCCGTCTATTTTCTTCCATATGATAGCTTCGTTGTAAAACAGACCTTCAGTGCCGTCGTCCTTGAACGTTTGGTTGCGAGCTATGGAGTAGACCATTCCGCCATCTGGGCTCCCCTCAATATCTAACGACTGCACTTTGTACGACTTCAGCCCAGTCTTCACTAGGCTTTCACACGCACTGATTAACACTAAAAAAAATAAAAAAAAAATATTTTTAAAAAGTTTTCTAACACATTGACGGTTGCATAAAATGCAGTTTTTCGTATTCCACAAAGCTCGATCAGTTTCCGGCGAGGCACGTATATCAGCTTAGAAAGATATATAACAAAGACAACTGTGTGTGGGGCCGTACACTACGAGGGGCAAACTTTCATTTTCATTTTCTTTTACTGTGTATTTGATTGTTTTTGTTTTTTTAATTTTTATTATTTTCGAATTTATTATTTATTTGTTAGAAGTTTTTTTTGTGTGTTTGTAATCGCGAAAACCATAAACCATAAACCGGCGACCGCATAACTTAAACGACCAAAACTTCTGCATCTTTCATCAGATTGGCTTGCTCTGTACATTTGATAACGTGTTCAATATGAATGTTTAAAAAAATTATGTGTTCGTGAAAATTGCGACCATTCGAAAACTGACACTGAGAAATTTACAATTGTTTTATTTTATTGGCATGCATCGAGTCGTATGATTCCGGACCGCTTTTATGATGAATACTTTAATGAATCCAAGTACCGTAAATGTTGGCTACAGATAAATGTTTCACGTCCATTAAATTTTTCCGTGTCCAAGATACGTGCACAATCGTTTTAATTGCACGACAACCCTGGGGTGCATGCTCAATTTTACCAGAAAAATTGTGTGTGGATATCCTTGCGTAATCACGTGACAGAGAGATGTATTGTTGACTTCTCGATGCGTTATTGTATAATTCTAAAGAAAAGAGGACGCCTTAGGCCGACTTAAATAATGAGGTTCATAACTGCGACAAAGCTAACCAAATGTTAATCTTGTTTATTCAACAAACAAAAAATATGAGAAGACCTTAGGCAAGCTAAATGTGAAACAGGCTATTCTCGGGCGGACATCCAGGGACTTTCACCCCTGGCAACCATCATGATGAAAACAAAGGCAAAATGTTTAGAAGTGAGTATGGTTTACGAGAGGTGGGCTGCACACCCCTACCCACTTAAAGTGGAAGTAGTGACCCCCCCCCCCCGCCCGGGCGTTCCACGGCAGCTCGCGCAGAGCCCATAGAAATACATGGCACAGTGGTGCGCGTCTTAGCAACGTCGAACAACTTGTGAAAGATACTTCCTCCACTCGCCGACTCCTTAGTGGTAACTTAGCAACACACCACAACGACACGTTTCATATTAATCATTGTATTCAACTGTAAATATTCGAAGCAGAGCAGACAAGGCGCGGCTTATAGAATACTTCAAATAATATTTACGTGTTCAATTCATGACGCAACGAGCACTGGGATTTCATCCAATTTTTGTAGATTGCAAACAATTCGTTCTACTGTAATCTATTGACTTTTTTATATCAATCATAACGCATTGCCGTATTTTATATTTCCGTATTTTAAATATAATTATATAATATTTTATATAATATTGATATCGACAGAATACACAGGAAAACTGGAGAACAAAGTGTAGATGTAAGCAGTGCCTAGACAGATTTGATTCGTTATTGAAGTCAGATTTAGTGCTTTCATATAAATCACGTAAGTATCTTTCTTCAGCTGAATATAGAATGAAATGGTTCGAACATTTCATTAGCCATAATTTGATCGTTTCGACGATATGTTCATGGTGATATTATACTACGTTTTTAGGGTTGGTGCAACGATTTCAAATCTAGCTATTTATTCACCAATATAAATAACATCATTGTCGCGCAATACCAGGACTCGAGTCCCCAAATAAATGAAATCAGGTAGCAAGATGGGCACATTCAAGTTGTTGATCCAGATAATGACAGTTGTCATACCGCCATCCCTATGTCACGTCACATGTGCCGCTATAACCTACGTGATTTTGGTACTTTGTCATCAACCCCAAAACTTTGCGAGTTTCTTAACAGTCGTAATATTTTGAAATCTAAACATCTTTTGCAATCTTACATATCGCGTATAGAACTGTAGAATACTTACGTTGATGTCCAATTTCCACCTCTTTTCCCGGAGACAGTGTTTTACAGTCAGGAGTGTAGCACTTGGTTACCATAGTAGTGAAATCACCGGCGTTATACAAAGTGACAAGTTCTTGGAATCTTTTTTCAATCGCTGCTTTCATATCGCTAGACATCTTACAGTGTAGGTTTGAATGGAACGTAGATTGAAAAAAAAGAGACTATTCTGTTCTAGACAAATACTGCAGTGTGGTTCCGAGCTTACCTGGCGGGGTTTTATACAAGGACGATTCCATTCAATCTAGCTTGGGTCCAATAGTATCCATCGTGAGTGTTTTTACTGTATTTATTAGAATAACCAGTGTCTTATTTATCGTATGTATCGTTCATTTTGATTTGTTTCGTGTTTTTGATGAATTTTACAATCCTAATTTGGACTAAGATATATGTTCCGATCAGTGCTTGTGTACATTTCACGCCAACGCATTTGCATATATCAACTTATTAATGGTGCATTAATGCGGAACTATGGAGATAGGCCAATGAATATATCAATACATTACGAAGCTTATACAATGAAAGGCCAAATTATTTAGTGTATTAAATAGTATTTGTTGTTACAATCGTTGATTACATAGAATCAATTATAATGATGGTGTTGGTAGATCGGTTGATGGTTGATGTAGACACAACAACAGACATTATAGTATTTATATTATTGGTGGGCGTCGAGCGGAAAGTCACTCAAGAGCGGTGACGCGCAGTGATTATTAAAAGAACAGCTATAATGCTGATAACAGTGTATAAAAACACTGTGATAAGCGTTGATAATATGTATGCGCCTCACTAAAGGAATTGTTAAGTTATTATTTGACATTATTTTTATGAATTTATTTTCAGGTGTCAGATTTATGAAGTCAGGAATAACTTTTCAGCTTCATTGTATGAAACGACCCTCTCTTTACTATATACCGGGCATATTATAAGGAAGTGATGTTCATCTTCAGTATCCTTTTCATTACACAATTTGCAGAATCTATCGATACTTTTGACTCCTCTTCCAATTTCTAAACTGTAATTGCTCAGTCTGAATTTACAGCAGAGAGCAGCATAGCGTGTACTCTGTATGTACGCCGCAATACTGCAGAATATGGTAATATACGAGTTATAAATACTGCATCGCCATTTAGCGTGCGTGTATATCCATGCGTTACTGCGTATGTTACAAGATACGGTCACGCTGTCTGTACTGCACGATAAATAATTGCCCGCCAACGTCGATTGCACTGCGCAGAACTCCACTTATGTGTTCCTATCGACTTCTGTCATCTTAATGTTAGTAAACTTTACATACAAGTCGCCACTAAACACACATATAAATCACAAACCCTCACATTAACCATCTGAATGCTTTGTAGATAATTTAATTTAAAACTACGGAAATTACTACGTCATGCACTCCTGGAAACTGCTAAGATTAAACCGTGACCAATTCAACATGCGTCATTGTTCATTACAACCAAACTAAATAGTAAATCAAGAAGAGGTTTAGAACTTAAATGTTACCAAGGCAACAGGTAGTCGCTGTAGGAGCAGGATCACATTTCCAGCCTGTCTACCTATTGTCCTGTCAATTTATGGTAATTAGTTTGTAATTCTTTTCAAATCGCAAGGCATTGACTGCGAGTTGAATGGAAGAAGCTACAGTGATGGATAAAATAAAATAACTTCTCAAATATATGTGTTAGATTGTCCATTTTATAATTATGATGATTTTATAAGACCCTTTTCGCCCCTGTGTCCACGATATTATGTTAAATTAGTGGCTGGTGCTTTTAATTCTGAGATACGGGAATAGTATTGAAGCATTGTCGTCCACTTCACTAACGCCCCATTAATTTTGTTTCAATGTAACACTCACGTCAACCATTTTATTTCGGTACAGCTTCACTAAGGCGTTTTGCATACGAAATGCTCGTATTCACAGTCTAATATTCTCACCTGACGTAACTGCAAATTGTTAGTCCTGTAGACCAGGCTCTCAGGCTGAGGTCACTATAAATATGGGTCATATTTATTGAGCATGGGGCATTTAACGATCAAAAATATGAAATAATTGTTTTCCTTTTTGTTTCTGTAGTCAGTTGACATCTGGAGCTTTCGTATATTGAACATCATACACTTTATTTAGTATAAACTGTGTTATACGTACGAGATGCACAATTTGTACTTTGGTATAAACGTGAGTATATATTTTGCAAAAATTTAGATATTAGCCTGGAATCCAGTCATATCCAGAGTGCCATTCCCAGGGCACTCAAGAATGGCCTGTTGAATTTCTACGTAAATACGTAGACGGCACAGAATTCCGTGTCAGCACTGATAGGTTGTCTCCATGACTTCAGTGCATTACCATGGGAACTCACATGCGCAGACTGATTCGTCAGTAAAACTCAATCGACGGCATCACGTCTACCTAGATATCAATTGTCAGGTCGTCCAAATTCGTATTTTATCGATCCGTTTTTATATTCACACTATCTGCCAATCTTGCTGTTGTACACCAACTGCGCACAGTACTTGCTTATATATATATATAGGAACGATTTACGAAACACACAGTTTTATGACGTCATACTTTTGTCCTGTAGAATCCCATCTTGATTGACCAAATTTCAGTCCCACAATGCACTTGCGTGAAGTAAAAAAAATGTATACGAGGAATATATTTCACAGATGTTCATATATCACGGCGTTGAATCATTGTGAATATGGTCAAAAGATATTTCGGACAGATGACAGTATGCCAGCAACCAATCATAACTCTTGTTACAAGCAGATTTCTTGTAAGCCATCCTGCAATTGGTCGGCAAATCCTGGTATAACTACATCGGATTTTAATCTGACTATACATTTCTGTGAGTGTTTATATGGGCAATAAACAAAATAAAAGCATGGCGTAGCTGTAAACATGCAGATAACCACATTGGCACGTACGATTGGAGTCAGCGAAATCGGACAAATCCATTTCAAGTTCTCAACCAAACGCCACCTTCAAGTTTAGAACAACAGCCTACGCGATCGACAGACCGTAAGGGGCGCTGGTCACTTTCGACGAGTGCAAGTGGAGTTCAGTGTTGATCTAATACTGGAAATTATCGCAGTTATATAATCACTATATCCCAGAAAAGCAGGGAGTGATCTTTAGGGTTCATGCTTCAGGCTACCTCGAAGGAGGATATATCACAAGATATTGCACGATTCACGTCCACGAGCCGCAGCTATATATTATATTAGCATTATTTTTCCATGATGGAAACAACACAAAAACTTAGAAATTTAGGACACAATAGCTCGTTCTGAACGCGCCTGGGTTAAAATACAAACACCGGTTAACAACAGTTTCCACGCATCTAATAATGCTCGATCTCTTGCCGCAGCTACTTCCGGAAAATCAATACCATACGTCACCATCCATCTAAATACATTCTGATTAGTTTAAGAACAATTTATTTAGTTACTAATAAATGTTTAAGTGGTTAATATACGTCGCCTTTAGAGCATGTGATTTTAACGGTACGCGTCGTCGGCTTTGTTTACATATTGTTGCTTATGAAAGACGTATATATGACGTGTCGTACGTTACGGAGTATACACAGGAACGGTCTTGCCGGTCCATAAAGAGCGCGCCCGTCATACCTCGGTGGAACGTTACGTTCTCGTATGTGCCAGTCTACGCGTTGGGGGATGCTTGACGTGAGCAAGTACATCAGTTAATTAAAAAAAGTGATTTGGAGTTTTATTTGTACACACTAAATGTTTCGAAGTGGTAAGTTTATGTCGAGGGAGCGCTAACATTTTCTCCACGTTCAACGCCTGTATGTACCTTACCTCCAAATATCTCACGTTAAACGCCTGCTGACACTACCCCACGGTCAACCCCAGACGACTGTATATTGGACGCACGGCAACTATGCCTCGTGTTCTGTAGCGGATGGGGGTGCATAAATGTTTTTTTTTTTTTTTTTTTGTTTCATCTCCCAAATAAGCCGACTTAATCATTAATATTTCCAAAATACAATTTCACATTTGTGATCTTGGATACTGTAAGACGCAAAGAGACGCCCTCTATGGCAGGGCACGGAATTTCGCTACCAGGCAAAAAGTATCGGTGTCGGGGAATTCACATGACGCTACGAGTGCTGATAAATACTGTAACAGTCGGGGTACAAACAATTCCGGGCATGTGATGGTGTATTCCTCTTAAAAGTCGGCGATACAGATAAAACTAAGTAATGGTTCATATACTGATATATCAACTACCAAGTAATTTCCTATTACCCTTATACTACTAGTACTCAAAGATATCGGGGTGGGTGGATGGTTACATGTCAAACAATGACATACCTACAAAACCGCAGTCCGGTAGGAACTAATTGCGATAAATATTTTGACGATCTCATGGTTGCTAATGCTCGATCTTCTATTACTGTCACGTAACATCGATCTTCCAATGCATTCGAATAACAGTATTGTAGGCGTGTATACTGATCACTAATCACTGTTTGTTTTCTGGAAAAAATAATAATATCAAATTAGACGGTGAATTATCTTCTTTTTTTATTTGACAGAGGGAATATGACGGCCATATAACGAGAAAAACATCTTATATTGACGATTATCCTTCTCAACATTAAACAAATACAAGAAGTTAACGAACCATACATATTAAAGGATTGATTAATCGGTTTAAAACACCTTTTCAGAACGCTCAATGTCGGAGTTTATCAAAAGGTGGTTAATGTTGGTGATTCAAGAAATGGGCTTGAATTTTTCGCTCAAATTATGGAAGATAAAGTTAGCACTTTTTAAGCGACTTTGTGCTAACTTGTGTCATTCAAAACATTTAGATAAAAACGGTGTCGGAGATAGTTTAAAATTCACCGATACAACAATCAATCCAAAAACAAACAAACATATAATAGATATTTCAAAGCAATTCGAACAAGGGGTGTTGAAGCTATTTCAAATTTAATTTCTTGTTGAGTGTCCTGAAATAAACCAGGATATTTGCTAATTTGCATAATCACTCTCTTTGTTCCAGAATTACCGTAGCATTTCAGGCAGCCCTAACAATTATTAAATTTATGATTTTGTCTTAAGTTTGTCAATCGTTATGTACAGTAAATTATATGCAGACATTCCTAATATTTATTAATTTGCAGTCCTTATTAATTATGC